TCTTTATTTCGAGAGATACAATCCAACCAAAACCTAATTTTTTCTCAAACAGTAATCACAACAACAAGCGACATGAAACAATCTCTTTGAGATTCTCACCGATGATGCTTGGACGGAAGTGCTCAAAATGGAAATGCCGCAATTTGGGAAGCCCACTTTCGAAAACTTGATCAAACGAGAGAAAAGAGATTTTAATTTACCTTCCTTTTGCAGTAAGTGCTGTGAAAATCACTCTAATTTCCATGCTTAATTCTTTTACGTTTTGTATGCAAACGAGTGATTCAGGCTGTATGGCAGAATCAGCCTGTCCGCCTGGGCCTCCTGGACGTTCAGGGCTTGACGGGGATGACGGAGGTGACTAAGTCTTAGCTTAGCAAATACAAAAAGAACTTAAATTTTATCGCTATTTCCCTTCAAATGCCACTTTCTTAGCTCCCGGACAGCAAGGACCTAGAGGACCAGACGGACTTGACGCCTCATCTACCGGCATCACCTACAACACAGATACAGGCTGCATCATGTGCCCGGCTGGACGTAAGAGCATCCAATCAAAAATACAGAATGCTCGTTCAAAGTAGTTTTAGCTCCCGGACCACGTGGACCGCCAGGTCTCGCTGGACCGCCAGGTCCACAAGGGCAGAATGGGCCACGCGCAGAGGGAACTTATAGATTGGGCAAACCCGGGCCACCGGGACCTCCTGGAGATCCTGGAGAACCAGGTTTCGCCAATGTTTTGCAACTACACCAAAACAATGTCAAGAGCTTTGAGTTTTTAGGATGTCCAGGTGAAGCAGGTAGGCCAGGAAATCCTGGTCGAGATGGAGTGCGCTACTTGCCGGGACCAGCAGGACTACCCGGAATGCCAGGCCCACGAGGACCACCAGGTCCTCCTGGTCCGCCTGGTATGGCAGAAGAAGGTCCAGATGGGCTACCTGGCCCACGCGGTAACCCTGGGCGCCCGGGAATGCCGGGACCTATGGGTAAACCTGGAGAGGTAAGGAATTCTTATTAGGTAGCTGCTAGCCGTGCAAACAATCATGACCCACTTTCTTGAGGAAGGAGACGCGGGTGAACCCGGTTTTGATGCTGATTATTGCCCTTG